TCTGATCATGCCTTTGCTTAAGCTATTCCTGCTACCTACCCTTTTCCCCCGCTCCACAAATATGCCAGGTGCCTAGAATTCAAATCAAATAAATACTACTCCCATTTCCTCCCAAACTCCCGCCTTCCAGGAGCTCTTAGCTTAGTGGGAAAGATGGGCAATTATACTAATGAGTGATAAGGCTCAGTTGGGTTAAATACAAGGTGCACTGGAGATATATACATCAGACTGGGACATCAGGTAAGGCTTCCTGGAGGAGGTGGGTGCCTGAACTGACTTTTGAAGAAAGAAGGGGTTTACATAGTTAAAAAAGGCAATTCAGTTAAGGGTTTTCCAGACAGATGATTAGTAACTGAAACCATGGAAGTACCAAAAATTTCATATCAGGTTTAAGCTGTGAGTGGGATTTTGAACAGGGAATGGCAGAATCGTATTTGTCCTATAAAAAGTCTATGGTATAGGCAGGACTGGAAAACAATTATCCTTTCTTTTCTCTATGCACATTAAATCTATTAAAGTTATTTTACACTAGCATCTCCTTCATCTTTGTACACACAGATGGCCAAGCCCCTTTAAAGCATGCAAGTTTGGGGACCCAGAGGAGAGCCTTGGTTGTATGCTAACAGATTTACTCATCCAGTTAAGAAGCCATGCTATATATAATGAACATATGAGGTAAAGTTTAGGGATGGAGGGTGAGAGTTCAATGAACCCTCAGTGGCAGGAGAGTTGTGTGTAGGGTGAATGTGGAGGAAAGCTATGCTCTGGTCGTGGTGCCAGGCACTGGTGAGTAGTCCATGAAAGAACCACCATCTGAGCTCAGGAAGATAAGGTAGGGTGCGCAGGAGAATGAGGTGTTGACTCTCTTGTTCAAATGTGAACTGAGTAGGGTTTGCACCCTAATGGCATTGTTCAGTTCTATCAGAACATTCACCCAGTGACAGTGCATTGATCTGTCCTTGTCCATTTCTTTTTCACTTAAGTGGAGTGAATTCACTGAAAATTGATGTAGTGTTTAGTTACTCTCTATCACCATGCCCAGATGTTCAATAAATGATCTCTGTGTTGAACTGAATAGAGGTGAGGGCCTCCTAGCAGAGAGCCCAGTGTGGTGTGGTTGACAGAGCATTAGCTTTGTTCTCCAAGGGTTGGGCTGGGAACTTTCCACTGCTTAGTTTGGGAGCTTTGTATATATATATGTAAAAGTATGTAGTGTGTATGTGTGTTTGTGTGTATGTCTAATACATACAGAGCCATGTATGTGTGTACATGATGCCTTTTATGCCTATTTTTCAGGGATACTCTAAGAATAAAATGTAGCAATGTCCTAGGCTAAAGGATGATGGGTGCTTTGATGGTAGGGGTAGCACACATCTGAGGAGCTATGAACCTAATCCCCTAATTCATGTACAGTGTTGTAAACCAATGCATGTTACTGCAATTAAAAAAAAGCAAAACAAACAAACAAGAATAAAATGGAAGCACAACACATAGAAAGAGCTTAGTAGTTCAAAACTCAGAAGTCCAGGGCTCCATCCCATCCTAGCTCTGCCCTCACTTCATGGCCTTGCATAAACCCCTACTCTATTTGGCCTCAACTTCTTTAAAAAACATGTTAGATTAGATAATGTTCCTTTCTCGCCTAGCATTCCACTATTTTTCTATGAAACCAGATTATTTCGGGTCATGTAAATAAATCTATATGCAAATGATAGAGGAGAATCACTTAGAGTTTAAGGGCGGCTTCAGCAGTAAATGTCATGTACTTAAGAAGAGGCCCCCTGGTAGCTGCTGTGACGTGCCACTCAGACTGATACCCTCACTTTAGAACCCAGGTGCTCACACCCCAGCTGCCAGGGGTGTTGCCTGCTGGCTGTCTGCCTGCAACTTGTCCTTGGCTGAGGAAGTTGCCTCTCCCCAGAGAGTTCTGGTGCCCTCCCCATCCAATCACTGGTCAATGTGGGAGCAAAGGCCCAGTCCTGTCATCTCAATTTTGGGCATCTCCAAAGATTCGGTCAGCTTCAGATTTCCCCTGGGGTCCATCAGAACGGCTTTCCAGTTCAACTTTCCCTTCAGCTCTGCCGATCCCACTTCCTCCCCAAGAAAACCTCTGCCCACAAACCACCTTTTTAGGGTGTTAACCCAGGGAACTTGACCTTTAGCTTTTTATCAGGACTCTGGGCCTCTAGGACTTGGATGCATGCTCCCATGTCCTTATCAAAAGGGCCTATGGAAGCCTTAGCTCCCTCGTGGCTCTTAATAATTACAGAAATGCAGCTGGACCTCACTCCAAAGGTGACATCTCCTGCTACCCCCACTGTAGTTCAAAATGGCAAACAAGATTTCTTCTCCCAGAGAAACTTTTCTAAAGTCCAAAGACAGAGAAGCTAGCAAGTCAGAGAAGGACTGAGTTAGTAACCTCCCAAAATGGGAAAAAAATTTTTTAAAAAGACTTAATAAAAAAAATCATACTGAATGAAGCTTCACTCACTAGAAATCAACTCTCAGAGAAGGAGGAGCATCAGCCTGATTTGTCACAGGTCTTGCCTCGACTGTCAGAGACTGTCAATTTAGTCGCCCCTCAGCCAGAGTTTTATTTTTGATATCTTAAGATCTGGAGTGAAGACGTGAGAACTTCCTTCTGTTACCCGAGTTTGGTCTACCACAAAGCGGCAGAGAAATAGAATGAAAAGGAGGAAGAGCTAAATGATGAGTTATAATTCTTGAATAGCTAGATAAATATTGACTAAGATTGCCTATGAAAAAGAAGCGTTCAGATCTGCCTGGAAAAATTAGCTTCCCTCCTTCCCGCTCTCCCCCTACTGTTCACAGCTCTGCTGTGCGAATCTGGCTCCGTTATTTCTCTCTGTGGGAGCTGCCATTTTAATGACTCAGCGCAGCACTTTTTCAGCGGGAGCCCCTGCCTCAGGTGGCCGATCAGGCCGGGGAGAATTGAGGTCTCATTTAAACAAAGTCAGAAATTTCCCAACTTGTTTTAAAGTGAAATAGATTTGTAAAAATAACAATAATAATTATTTGACAGTGCTTGTTACAGCTCCCAGTTCGAAATTTAACCTTTCAAGTAGAATCCATCCTTCTCCTTCCCCCATAAAACTTTCCTTGCCTTGGCTGCCGAGGCACCTCCACCCTGAGTTAAAACTCAGCAGCTCAGACCAGTCTGATGTGAGCGAACAAAGAAACTGCAGAACAGTTTGTTTCTCTGAGTTTGGGTCTTTCTTAAATATTTGTCATTGCTCACATAGCAGCCATTCACGTGCGCTTTAAAGGAAATCCATCTTTGTACTTCATCTATGTATTTACAACACAAGCCTCTTCATTTGGGAGAAATGGTTGATTGACACTTCAGATAATTTGCATCATTCAAAAGAATGTTTTCATTCTGTATTTTATCAATAGGGGCATCATTTACAGTGAGATGAACGAGTCATAAAACAGGGCTCACTACATTCTTATGTCCAAGGTCCATTTTTCTCAGTCCTACCAGATCTCAAGCCATTTTCCCCTGAGCCTCCTCTGCGCTGGCGCTACTAGCTCCTGCCCATCTTCAAGCATGTCTAGCTACACCCCTGCCACCGCTTCAGCTGGACTGAGACCCAGCTGCACCTGACCCCGCTGTGTCTTTACAACTCTCCAAAGTGAAGGCCAGTCACCTTCTCACACCTTTCCCACAGACCACCTATGGGGGTGGGGTTCTCCCCACTTCCTACTCACCTGTCCAGAGTATTGTCTTTCCTTCTGCATCTCCTTGTGTAAGGTAACCCTGTTGTCTTTTTCTAACCCCAGTGATATTACTAACCAACCTCAGAGCCATTCATCTTCACCCATAAAGGATTTTCGTACCTTATTTACAGACATCCTTTCCTCCCATCTGTCATCTTTCTCTAAGAATTAAGTATGCAAGAATGCACTCTTTCAGCTAATTCCTTTATTTATCCCTAAGTCTGACCCACTGTCGGTTTTCTCCACTGCCCTTTCTCCCCAGAACAATCAGCCTGTGATGTTTCTCGAAGCCTTTCGCCCTGTGTTCAACTTACGAGTCCTGTCAGCATTTCAGAGGTCCAGGTAACTTACAGTCTTCCTCCCGTGTCTTCAGTAGTTTTCCACTGACGTCTCTGGAATCTGCAGGTGCTGCTGTTCTTCTCTCAACACCTCAGCCCTGTCCTCTGAAAGCCAAATCCTCACACCGTGTTTCATGGTGTGGGCCCTGCAGATCCATGTCAAGGCAACTGGCTCCTGCTCAAACTTACTGACTTTTGCTCCTCCCGCTGTAGCAAGACTACATGTCCTGCCTTCCTCGCCATTAGGAGGGGTCACGTGATTGCCTTAGAGCCCATGGGATATGAGGGGTAAGGTATGATCCTTCAAGGTCAGGCCCACAGCCGCCTCTCACATCCAGTCCTTCCTGCTTTGCAAACTAGACGCTGACACCCTGGGTGAGACTGAGAGTCAGCTGCTAAAAGTAGGCACCTCGAATTCCTGACTGGAACACAAGCCCCTCTGTCTCGGTCTGTTTGGGCTGCTGTAGCAAAAATATCAAGACTAAGTGCCTTAAACAACTGAAGTTTGTTTCTCACAGTGCAGGAGGCTGGGAAATCCAGGATCAAGGTGCTGGTGAGTTTTGCTGCAGTCAGGGCCCTCTTCCTGGTTTGCAGACCCCTTTATACCTGTCTTCACATGGTGGAGAGGGAGGTCATTGGTTTCACATCACTTTTATAAGGGCACTAATCCCATTCTTGAAAGCTGCACCCTATTCATCCAATTGCTCCCCAAAGGCCCCCACCTTCAACTGCCATAACATTGGGGCTTAAGCTTCAACATATGAACTAGGATGGGAACACAAATATTTAATCCACAGCATCCTTTCTCCCTGCCCCCCATCCCGTGCCCCAGAACTGAAGAAAAGCACATGCACTGACCACGAATAAAAACACGTTTTTGACAGAATTAAGCCTCTGGAATTCTGGAGTTCATTTGTTACAGTTAGTTTTATTCTAATATAAATGTGAAAGGAGAAGGAATTCTAAAATGGATCAGGTTTGAGTAGTCATCAGGGACATAAAAGTGGGTCACAGTAAGGAGGGGCCAGCTTCAAGTGGGGGGATAAAGAGAATCAAAGTTCTTGCTTCTTCATGGACACTGTTCTTTACTGTTTCGCTCTTCTGGCCTTCTCTCCTGAAGCTCCATTTGTGAGGTGGGGGGCTTCCGCGCCTGTGTGTAATGCAGGTAGGAATGAGGGTACGAGTGACCCGGAGCAGAGGAAGCAGAGAGCGGGTGAGAGGTGTGAGGAATGACTTCACCCCACACAATCCCCCACCCACCCACCTTGGCAGTAGACAAATTGTGTCCTTCCCGCTGTGAGCACCCGAGGGGCCTGTGGCATCGGTTAGCAGCTAATTAGGAATCTGGAGTTCTCGATGCAGGTCTTCTGTCTCCATCACGCTGGCTGGGGCAGTGGCTAAAAGCTGGGTTAAAGAGAAAGATTCAGGACCAAGGCCATAAGTACAGCTGCGGGTACCCATAGGACTTGGCGGGTGGCTCAGGGTAAAAGGGGCGACCTTCTTCCTGGAGAAAGAAGTCACATGGGCCTGAGGAGTCGAACTTCAGTGGCAAACTGGAATCGTTGTGTGCTTACCAGAATGGGTGTCTGTAGCCGTTATGCTGAGGAGGGAAATTACTCAAGGAGTGAATCTTTTCCTCTCTGTCCTGCTTAGCATTCCTACATTCTGACATCTCCACTGAGAAACACTCTCTCTCCTGATCACACAGTGCCCGAGCAGGAGCAGATGGCCCCAGGGAGCAAGGGCAAAGTGCTTTATGGATAGTATCTCATTAAAACCTTCCACCTTTCCCCAAAGAGTCAAGCCACACCCCACCCTTGCTTCCGCCAGCTCACAATCCCTGCTTCATTCAAACCAGATTCTGAATAATAAATATTGTGATTTATGTTGAGTCATTTGGGAGGAATCGTAAATGGAATCTCAACATCTCCATCCACTGAAAGGCACCATTAGTGTGTTCACATCTTAATGGTTGTCTTGACACCTACTTACCTGGAATGCCAATGATTTACGGTTATTAGGTGGGGGTTCCCAGGTGCCCATTATTCCCATTGGACAGAAATCCAAGACCCTTATTCTTTCCTTGAATGTTGATGTTTTATACCTTTCCACTATCTCACCAATACACCAGGCTTCTAGAAATATTGGCTGTTCTCTAAATGTACCAATTTCCTTCAGGCTTTTGAAGCTTTAAATAAACTGCTCCCTCTGTCAGAATGCATTCCTCTTAGACCTGCTACTGTGATCTTCTGCTTAAGAACCAGCTGAAATCTCATCTCCTCCATCAGCCCTACTTGGGCTTCTATAGGACGAAGTAAGTGCTCTTTCCGCTAATCTTCCACAGCATCAAATGGATGAACATCCATTTGCACCAAGCTTCAGCTACAAGCTATACATATATATTATGTCGTTCACACTCTGCAGTTGGTGATATTATTATAACTAATTTTACTGATAATAGAAAAAGGATTCGAAGACATTAGTAGCTCTCCCTTTGTTACATGGTCATTGATGGAGCCAGATTTCAAACCCAGGTTAAACACCAAACCTGTACTCTTTCACCCCATAAGCTGCCTCCATTTTCCCCCTAAAATCACCTGCCGTTTTCTCCATCAGGTTTGAGATTCTTAAAGTAAGGGATTGTGATGTTAGGTACCTGTTTCCTAGTATGTAGAATAGTGCTTGGTATACAATAGGTACTCACTAAATGTGGAATGAATGAACTAAAGAAAGAATGAGTCAATAACATTGTCACTTTAGAGAAATTTCCGTTGTCTATTTAAACATGGTGGGGGCTCATGAAAATTGTCAGATTTCCCTTCTGGTGACAATTTTGGGAAGAGGGATTCCTTTGGGAAGAAGAGAATAATTGCTCCAACTAGGCAAATCCAGGGGTGATTAAAATTAGTCTACATGAGCTTCATGGAGACTTGAAGAACTAGCTTATCTTCCATTGAGCTTATCCACAGGATAATTGAAATACACAGATAGTGTCTGAACGCATTCATTTATTCATTCCCTTATTCAACAAATATTATTAGAGCAGGCTCTTGTGGCACCCAGAGGTCACTGTGTTGAGCTTTAGGGACACAAAGGCCAACACAGTCACGGTCCTCCAAGAGAACTTGGCCCATCCAGCATCTGCCAACAGAACCACCCTTTTCTCTCAGGAAAGCATCTTCCCATTCTCAGGCTGGGTGTTTCTGCTGGGCCCTTGTCCACTCCTGGACTCCAAGCTTGTGAACATGATGAATTGCAGTCTTGCACCCTCTAGTTACAGTGATTGGTTTTGGGGTGGGCTTGAGAGTCACCAATGGGACTTCTGGGATTAGAAAAATGGTGCTTTCTTTTTGCTTGTTAAATATAAATGAGGAGCTACTGGTAGAGAGTGAGATAAATACAAAGGAAGGCAGTATCAAGAGTTTGCTGGAGTCACAGGGGGTAAACTGATGGCATAAATCCAGGCCTTGGATACCTTCACATCAAAGGCAGCGGAAACCCTAACCATCCCATTCAGATGAACGAAAATATTCCCCCTTTTTTCTTTGTCTTGAGCCATTCTAAGATGGGCTTCTTTAACTTGCAATGAAATAAGCCCTAAATAATAATAGCATTAACTTCTGGAAGTGGAATTTTAAAAGTGACCACATAGAATGTGGAATTGGCTGAATTACATTGGGGCGCAGAGCAACAAGAACTCCTGTCTTTTGGTGAAAAGTTGGAAATTCCAGTCATGTGTTAGGTGGCAATTGGGTTGGACACATGAAATATCTTGAGGCTTGCACCATATTTTAGAGCTAGGAAATACAATTACATTGGAAAGGATTGTCCACATCTTCTGTTCTTTAGTAATGTCTTACAGGGATGAAGCAAGATGAATAGGAAGGAAACAAGCTTTGTCAGAGAAGCCCACCCTGTCTCCATCAGCTGTCCTGGGTGGTTGAGGAGAATGCTGCAGTTATGAAAAGTTTAATCCTCCATCTCAAATTAACTTAGTATAAGTGGAGTTAAGGGAGGCTAAAAACACAGAGGGATAGAAGATTAGAACCCTAAAGTCTTATAACCCGAAGCCTTCCAATCATCCTCCTAGCAGTGTAAAAAGCTGACCTCCGGGATGCAGCTGGGAAGCAAAAGGAATCTGAACCTTGCACTCCCCACCCCACATCATGCTAGCACATGAGTGGAACAGGAACACCTGCTGTGAAGGCAGAAACCTCCAGGTAGTACTCTAGATCCAAGGAGCATAATCCTGACTTTGGGTGTGACTGGACGCAAATCAACTAAGAGCTTCTTAAGGCTGGAGAGGCAGAAAGCCCGGAAAACACAGAGTCTGTCAAACAATATTCTGCAACACAGCAACCAGTGGCCAGGTAGCCCCACGCCCGTGCTCTTCCTAGGAGAAAGTGAGCAGCCCCGAGAGAAAAGCTACTGGAGCTCCTCGAGGTGATGGCCCCAGGGTCCCTGGAAAGGGAGCTCCTGCCAGGTAGCAGACGCAGGCCAGACTGGCCATGGGCAAAGGCATCCTGGTCGTCCTGTCCCCCGTGCCATTATCCCCATCCACACGTTCTGCTCGTGTCTGGACCACATGCCAGTGATGACAGTGTGTCGGTTCCCCGTCTTTCTTTTTCCAAGATTGAGCTTTCACTAGTAGTTATCGTCCACTTTTCTCATCAGTGTGTATCATACTTGTTGGTAGGGAAGGGAGATTAAACATGACCTTTAGTGATTAATGGTTAAATTTTAATTTCTGGACCAAAAACATGTCACATCCCAATCTCATAAAAGCACAAATGGCTGAACCCCACCCTGCTCTGGAGTGAACTCTAGATTTTGCCTTTCTAAGAGGTTCTGAGGTGATGTGGATGCTGTCATTGTTTTGTTTTGAGTTCCTCAGGTAATTTTAATTTGCAGGCAGTATTAAGAATCTCAATTCTAGACCCTCTAACAAGCATTTATTTGTGTGTGTTCCAAAATATTTCATTTATTTTTTTACATCATTGTTCATTTTTAAACAGTATTTGCTTCCCCCCACCCCCTCAGGTGTAGTCCCCATAGTTTCCTTCACCAATGCACCTGTGCACCATCACCTCAGTCCCCTGTGCTCCTCCCTCCCTCCCTCGGATCCCTCTCCCTCCTCCTCCCCCGCAGGATGTCTCTGATTTATATTTGTCTGTTTTTGCTTTGTCGTGTTTTGTACTGTTATTATTTTTTTACACCGATGTCTTATTTGGTTCCCCTACATTCCTGCTATAAGTGAAACCATCTGATATTTTTCTTTTTCCTCCTGGCTTATTTCACTGAACATAATTCCTTCTAGTTCCATCCACATTGTTGCGAATGGCGTGAGTTTATCTTTTTGGATTGCCGAATAATAGTCTGTTGTGTATATATACACCACATCTTTTTGATCCAGTCATCTATTTTGGGGCATTTGGGTTGTTCCCAGGTTTCACCTATTGTAACTAGTGCTGCAATAAACATAGGGATACAGGTGGTCTTTTGAATCAATGTTTTTGTACCCTTTAGGTAGATCCCTAAGGGTGGAATTGCCAGGTCATATGGTAGCTCCATTTTTAGTAGACTCAGGAACCTCCAGACAGCTTTCCATAATGTTTGGACCAGTTTGCACTCCCACCAGCAAGGTAAGAGAGTTCCTTTTTCACCACATCCTCACCAACATTTGTTATTGCGTCTAACAAGCATTTATTGAGCATACACCATGTGCCAGGTACTGAGTTAGGTCCAGGGCATGGATATGATATGTATGTGAATCCATATGCATATATGTAGATGTACATAGGAATAAATTCCCTGCTCCTGAAACAATCACCACCTAATAGGGAAGAAGTCATATAAATCAAAATAAATTTCAGGGTAATGAATGAAGTAGCCTGGGGCTGAGCACACACAGGGAAGTCAGAGAGGAATGCAGAAGGAGAAAATAGCCTTAAAGAATGAGTAACACCTTTCAGGTTCTAGACAAAGGAACAGCATGTGCAAAGGCACTGGGACATTGAACAGGATCACATAAAAATGCACAATTAGGAAATTACAAGAAGCTTGATGTAGCTGAAGCATCAGAAATGAGGTGGCAGGCATGGAATCTGGGAACTGGAAGACAGTCCAAGATGCTCCTTATCTCACAGGAAAAATCTAAAGAGTTTAAATAGTTTAAATAGCATGGTCTGCCAAACCTTTGGCCAAGGTTGGTCAGAATCTCCCCCCATACCTCAATGCTGGTGGAGAGCGGCCAATGGTGGGGAGAATCAGGTGCAAATAAAATGCTGTGGCAGAAGAGGCAGTTGCTGGCACTCCTGGGGGAGCCACTTGAGATTTGGGGTGTCCATGGCTTGGAAGAGAAAGTACTACAGCCATATGTTCATACCCACAGAGACACCTGGACT